TGTTGTGTCTGTGGCCGGCCTCGGCGACTCCTACCTGGTGTGGCACTCGGTGACCATGGGGACCACACCCATGCGGTGGTGTGACACGGTGGATAGTCATTGTCACCATGCTGGTTACCACAGTGACCCGTCCCGCAACAATGTGAGGTCCTCCCTGCTCAGCCCGGGCCTGTCCTGGGGCCCCGGGTTCCCAGCCGGCAGCCAAGTGCTGGACCCCAGCCCAGTCGTGTCCCGGCACCAGGCAGGCGGGGCCCGGGCGGAGCCTGGGGGTTGTGCAGGCCAGGGATGGCGTGGGGAGCGGGCCCCCGACCTGGGCCCAGGCTGGCTGCTGGGGGAGAGGGGGCCCCTGCGGTGTCCGGGCACATCCTGGCCCCCCTCTGACTGCGGGACCAGTGGAGGTGTTGAAGGATTTTCCGTCGTTCTTGGTCGCACCGCTGCAAAGAATGGAGAAGGAGACCACCCAGGGTGGTGGGCCAGGAAGCAAGGTTTATCAAGTGATGGAGGACAAAGCCACCGGAGTTTTAATGGGCTTGCTGGCAGACGACCTGTCACGCCATCAGGTTCCCGTCATCTCTCAGGTGGGGAAGGCTGGAGGGTTCCTTGCAGGGTGGGTGTGAAATCCTTTTAAGGGTGGTTTCCGCTTCGGGCTGGGGCCCCTCATCCTGCCGGCCTATCCTTCATCAAAGGGAGCAGCAGGGGGCAGAGGGGTGGGCGAGAGGGTCCCAGCTCCCAGCGGCTCTCAGCAGCCACATCCCTGCACTGCCCCTGCCTGCCCGGCCACCCCCCTGCTGCAGCCATGAGCCGCCCCCCCGCCCCCCGTCACTTGGACAAGCCCTTTCTGCAGGCGTGCTGGCCTTCTGCCCGAGACCCCTCCTTCCCGCTGCCGCCCCATCTTCCCAAGGTTCCCCCTCTCCTCCTCCGGGGTCCGCCCAGGACGGCACCGTGGGGCCCAGAGGCTGGGAGGCGCCAAGAGGAGCAGCCTGGACAGCCAGTGGGGACCCTCCTGCCTCCCTGTTGCCTCTGTGTGGCTCTCCCTGCGCAGGGCGTCCGGGCCCTGGGCAGTGGCTCCTGGAGGCCAGGTGGCTGGGCACACGTCCTCTGTCCCAGCACCAGGTCCTCCAGCCGATTTCCGCTTCCAGCGTCCCCACGGCGACTGTCTCCGTGGCAACACAGTGGGTGGCAGGAACCTCGAGACAGGGACGAAAGGCCCCAGGAGCCGAGGGAGGCGCGGAAGCTCCCCAGCGCACAGACCGCTCGGGCTGTCACGTGAGCGCCGCCTGCCAGTCGTGTGACCACGCCCCGCGGCCGAGCAGAGATGGGCGCCCGGCTCCGGCCGGCCCTGCCCTGGGCCCTGACCCTGCTGCTGGTGCTGGGGCTGCACAGCCTGGGGGCCAGGGGTGAGTGCGGGCCTGCGGGCGTCCCCCCACCCTGTCCGGTGTGCCCCGCGCGCTGAGCACCGCACCCCTGCAGCCCACAGGGTCCCGGGGAGCGACTTTCGGGAGGGCTACTTTGAGCAGCTTCTGGACCATTTCAACTTCGAGAGGTTTGGCAACAAGACCTTCCCCCAGCGGTTCCTGGTGTCAGGTGAGGTCGCCCTGGGGGTCCCGGGACCCTAGGGTGCTGCCCCGTGCCTCACCCACCCCTTCCTGCCTCCGCCCGACAGAGAAGTTCTGGAAGAGGGGCAGGGGGCCCATATTCTTCTACACGGGCAACGAGGGGGACGTGTGGTCCTTTGCCAACAACTCGGGGTTCATCCTGGAGCTGGCGGTACAGCAGGAGGCCCTGGTCGTCTTCGCGGAGCACGTGGGTACCGGTGGCGGCGCGGGCGGGGAGGGCGGGTGTGGGGGGGGGGGCCGGGCTCAGTCCCACCGGCGCCCGCCTGCAGCGCTACTACGGGAAGTCGCTCCCGTTCGGCGAGCAGTCCACACGGCGCGGGCACACGGAGCTGCTCACCGTGGAACAGGCCCTGGCCGACTTTGCGAGGCTGCTCAGCACGCTGCGGCGGGACCTCGGGGCCCAGGACAGCCCCGCCATCGCCTTTGGTGGCAGGTGGGTCCTCACCCAGCTCACTCACTTCTCCCCGAGCCACACACACGTGCTTGGCCCCAGGGCTGGAATTTCTGTGGGACGGAAGTGGCAGGGCCTCTCGGGGGCACGGTGGGCTCTGGGGAGGGAGAGCTGAGGGGCGTCCTGGGGAGGCTGTGGCCCCAGCCCCCACCCTGTGTGCCCGCCCAGCTACGGGGGGATGCTCAGCGCCTACATGAGGATCAAGTACCCCCATCTCGTGGCCGGCGCGCTCGCAGCCAGTGCGCCTGTTGTGTCTGTGGCCGGCCTCGGCGACTCCTACCAGTTCTTCCGGGACGTCTCGGCGGTGAGTGAGGGTTCGGGGGCCCCGGGGCCGGGCCGGGCTGTGGCAGCCACAACCCTTCTCTCCCCAGGACTTCGAGGGCCAGAGTCCCAAGTGTGCCCAGGGCGTGCGGGATGCGTTCCGGCAGATCAAGGACCTGTTCTTACAGGGAGGTGAGAAAGTCCGCCTGTGAGCTGCAGACCAGCCCTCCCCTCCCTCTGGCCCCCACCCCACGCCCACCAGCAGCCTCCAGAGGCCGTTGTCCTGCCTCCTCCTGGCAGCCCATGACACAGTCAGCCGGGAGTTCGGCACCTGCCAGCGCCTGTCCAGTTGGGAGGACCTGACCCAGCTCTTTGGGTTCGCCCGCAATGCCTTCACCGTGCTGGCCATGATGGACTACCCATACCCCACCGACTTCATCGGACACCTTCCTGCCAACCCAGTCAAGGCAAGACAGCTGCTCCCGGCATAAGGAGACGCTGCCTGGGGTCTGGGGAGGGCAGTGTCCGTGGACAGAGAAGGGCCCAGCTGCCGTGGGCTGGCCAGTGCTGGTCAGCCCAAGAGACTCGCAGCCACTCTGGGGCCCAGGACCAGGGAAGGGTGGGCTGCGAGGGGGCTGCAGGCCAAGTGAGGGTCTTTGGTTGGCATCCCTAGGTTGGCTGTGACCGGCTGCTGAGCGAGAGCCAGAGGATCAAGGGGCTGGGAACACTGGCTGGTGCGTCTGCCCCTCAGCCCAGCACCAAGTGTGGGGGTAGACATGGCTTGGGGATGCGGGCCACATGCAGGCAAGGAGCACTGATGTCCCCGGACAGTCCCTGGCCCGGCCTGGGGGCTCTGCTCCACAGGTTCTCTGAAAGGTCCAGGCGGGGCAGGCAGCACACCCCGCCACGACCTGCCCTGCTGGGAGGAGGGCATCGGGCGGGGGGCGGGGGTCAGGAGCCGCTGGCACAGACCCCAGGAGCGCCTGGGCCCCTGTCCGCCAGGCCTGGTGTACAACTCCTCGGGCACAGCGCCCTGCTTCGACATCTACCTGCAGTACCAGGCTTGCGCAGACCCCACGGGCTGTGGCTCCGGCCCCAATGCCAGGGCCTGGGACTACCAGGTAGGGGGTGCCGGCCGCCCAGGACTGCCCGGGACAGAGGTGCTGGATGCGCCCCCACCCTGCCCGCCTGACCCTGGTGTGGGGCATCCCACAGGCCTGCACCGAGATCAACCTGACGTTTTCCAGCAACAACGTGACAGACCTCTTTCCTGAGCTGTCCTTCACCGAGGCCCTCCGCCAGCAGTACTGCCTGGACACGTGGGGCGTGTGGCCCCGGAGGGACTGGCTGCACACCAGCTTCGGCGGGGACGGTGCGGCTCGGGATGGCAGCCTCCTTCCCTGTGCCTCACGCGGACTCGGCTCCCCTGATCTGGGCCACGGCTCAGATCCGGGCAGCTGTGCCCAGTCTCCACCTCCATGTGTGTCCCTTTCAGACCTGAAAGCTGCCAGCAACATCCTCTTCTCCAACGGTGACCTGGACCCCTGGGCAGGGGGCGGGGTGAGGCCCGGCCTGGGAGCTGCTGCAGGTGCTCTTGGCTCTGGCCCGGTGGGGGGCCCGAGCAGGACCCTCCCTCTCGGTCAGCCACCCTCCACACCTGGCTTCTGTGTGGCCTTCATTTTCTTTCTAACTTCATCTCCTCTCCCTTTGATGGTTCTTCCCCTTGGACTTCCTTTGGGGGGGCGGGCAGAGGGAGGGGGAGAATCTCGGGCAGAATCCCTGCTGAGCACCGGGCCTGCCACGGGGCGCAATCCCACGACCCCACAGGACCTGAGCTGACATCCAGAGTCGGACGCTTAACGGACTGAGCACCCAGATGTCCCCTCCCCGACTTCTTAGTGTGAACTGACGTCAGGCACCCTAATGAGGCCGCTCGTTCCTGCCTCAGCGGCACCCCGAGCTGGACACGCAGCCCCGCTGCAGGCTGCACGGGTGGGGAGGGGTGGGGCGGCCGTGGCTCAGAGTGCACCGGGCGGCTGACGGGATGTCCTTCGACAGATCCGGAGTAACCTGAGCACGTCGGTCCTTGCCATCACCATCCGCGGGGGAGCCCATCACCTAGACCTCAGGTACGGTCCTGCCGGGAGGGGTGCTGCGTGTGGCCCAGGCCAGTGGCTGGACGTGGGCCGGGGTGGGGCAAAGCTCGGTCTGCTGCCCAGCTGAGGCCCCTGTGCCTTCCCCTTAGAGCGTCTCACCCAGAAGACCCTGCGTCTGTCCGGGAGGCTCGCACATTCGAGGCCAGGCTCATCCGTGAGTGGGTGGAAGCAGCCAGACGCGAACAGTGGATGCAGATGGCCCGGCGTGGGGGACGCGGGGGCTGAGGAGCGCTCCCCAGCCCAGGACCGGAGAGGCCGGCATCTCAGAAGGCTCTGGAGGCGAGCGGCCGTGGCCGAGGGAGGGTCTGAAGCAGCGTCCGGCCACGTGTGGTGCGGGCTGAGGGAGCAGGCGTGGTGAACACACTGCACGGCCGCCCAAACCAGCCTTGCACTGAATAAAACCGAGCCCTCAGTTTGTGTGTGGTCTCAGGGCGTGGGGTGGGGTACCCTGTGGCCAGCCCAAGTGTCCTCCAGGCAGCCCCACTGAGGGGTGCAGTGCTCCACCTGCTACCCCAGCCGGGCCTCTGGGGGCCGGACCCCGGGCGTGGAGGGGACCTGGGCCCACAGCTCCACCCCTAGGGTAGGCACCTGCCCTGTCCCGCCCATGGGCACGGAGGAGCTGTGGGCAGCAGTGCGGGGGGTTGGAGCCCACTTGGAAGAAAGGCCCTGCACCCCGCTCCGGGCGTGGTAGTGGGTCAGGGGTGGAAGGCAGCCTCAGGGGCGGCCACTGGACACCTGAGGTGCCGGACACCAGGGAACACGGCCAGAACCCAGGTCCTGCAGGGCACTGGGAGCCCGGACCTCTGCAGAGGCAGCGTCCACAGCGGGACAGGCCCTGCAGCTCTGGGAAAGGGGATCTTCTAGAAACGACAAGGGTACTGGGCTGCTCAGGAATGTCAGAGGGAGGACCTGCGCCTGTCCTGGGGGCCAGCTGGTCCTAGGGAGCAGGCTCCCCCCCAGACGCCAAGGTTCGTCTCTGGAAAAGTGCCCCAAATCAGGGCTCAGGGAGGGAAGTGGCAGGCTCCTGTGGGAGAGACAGGCACACCTCCACCTGTGGACATGGAACCCAGGACACACCCCCGCAGGACAGGCAGGGGCACAGTGTTCTCTCCTGCAGGGGCATGGACTCCGTGTCCAACCACATGGTCCCGGGTCCCCAGGCTGCCTGTCACGGGCGCAGTCCTGACTTCCAACCAGAGAGCACGAGGTGTGGCTACCACAGTGGCTGGGACTCCGACCACAGCTGAGGAAACACGGGGTCTCACACGTGACAACGTCAGCGCAAATCTACTTTATGGTCCATTCTAGCGGGGGGTCCAGGAGCAGGACGAACTCGCCCACCCGCCCCTCCCAGCCCCTGCAGGGCCAGGGGAGGATCCCTGAGTCCAACGTGTAAACACCACAGCCCACCAGGTGCCCGGATGCGCAGGGGGTCACAGGCGCCCCCCCAGACCCTCGGGTCAGGGCACGTCGCAGGCTCTGATCCCAGGCTGAGCCGCATGTCGGGCTGTCCCTTCAGCTCTCGTCTCTGAACGCTATGTGGGGGACCCAGCGCAGCCCCGGCAGACGACCAGGCACGAGGGACCACCACGAAGCCCGGGCACCGGCTGACGAAGTTGGTCGGGTATTCGGAATGTAAACATGATTCAAGATTCACAGGAAGAAGGAAGAAGCCTCCTCCAGTGGACGGGAAACCATGAATCACAGCAAGGATGGGTCACGTCTGAGGCACTGCCCACAGGGGCGTCAGGCCCCCCTGGGCGGGACCCAGATGGGCAAGGGGTGAGCCTCGGTGTTGAACACGTAGGCGTCCAGGCTGAGCAGGTCTGGGTCGTCGGAGAAGAGCAGATACAGGTACTTGAGCGTCTCCCCCAGAAAGAAGCTCTCCATCTTGTCCCTGGGCTGGGGATTGAGGGGATCCTGGACGTTGCTGATGGACGAGTAGCCGCCCGAGGGGACCTGCACGAAGCCGAGACCGCGGCGGGGTCACGGCTGCAGACACAGCTGGCTCCCCACACCGGGCTCGGCCCTCGGGGTGCGGGCCCGGCAGCCAGACGGCCCCCTCCCCAAGTCTCCCTGTCTCACCGGGGCACGCGCGTGCGGCCCAGGGCAGGGCCTTGGGGTCACCCCCCCAAGGTGTACCAGGGGACTGGCCCCCCTGGAGGTCAGCCACAGTTCCTCAAGACACCCCCTCAGAGGTGCCAGCCCCCCTCCGCTGCCCTGATGGAAAGCGCCGCCTCCGAAACCCAGGGGCCGCCTCCCGAAGGCCCCGAGATCACCTGAGGAGTCCAGGCCCCACCGCCTCACACACCACAGGGCAGAGGTCAGGTTCTGGCTCTGCCAGGGTGGGTGGCGGGCCCTGGACAGGGCGCGACCTCCTCAGAGCCACGGCCCCGGCCCCGGCGGCAGGACGGGTGGCAGGGCCCCGAGCACAGTGGGGGCAGTGCCAGGTCATGGCGCCGTCTGGGGAGCGGTGGCCCCGAGGTCACCCCGGGGCGGAGAAGGGCTGCCCCGGCCACACGGAGGATCCGGGAAGGACGCGCCCCGTGCACAGGGGGCCACGGCAGGGGCTCTCCCCACAGAGCCTGGTCCTTCGAGGCGCGACCAAGGGACACCCCGGCCCCCACGTGCCCTGAACTCCCGAGGCCACGGCAAGCCTGCGCCCCCACCCCCCATCCCCGCGGCCCGGGGCGAGGTGGCCAGTGAGGAGCCGGGACGCCGACCAGGCGGCAGCGGGCAGGCGGCTCACCCGTGCGTACGTGTTGAAGCTCTGCAGGATCTGCCAGCCCCAGTCCTGGTACTTGGGGTCCCCCGTGAGGCGGTACAGGTAGAACAAGCTCTCCACCGTCTCGGGCCGCAGCAGATTGTGCCTGTCGGCCGGCTGGGACGGGGGAACGCAGGCTGAGCTCAGGCGAGGCCCCCGGCGCCCCCCAACACCAGAGCCCGGCCCCGGCTCACCTTGACCTGCACATCCTTCTGGTCGCTCTGAGGGTACAGGTTGAAGTGCACAATTTCGGGGCTCAGCCCCGTCTCCATCTGACGGTTCATCTGGTAGCAGGTGTCCATGAGCGCCCGGGCCAGCTCCATGTGGTCAGCGGGCAGGCCGTGGTGGGCGCCCAGAGCCAGCGTCCCTGGCAGGAAGCACACCAGGTGGTCCTGAAATCAGAGCGTGTCCTCACCACCGCTGAGTCTGCGGCCGCACGGGGCGGGGGGCGGCAGCACCGGGTCCAGCGCTGTCTCGGGCCTCCCACGTCCCCAGGAGTCTACGAGCCCGAGCGGGGACGCCTCAGGTCCACTCGGGCAAGTGACTCAACTACAGGCCCAGCACTTGGGGCTCAACGGGAGCAGGGGAGAAGCTGGTGGCAGGACACCCCCTGCCCCTGCCGGGAGAGCAGATGCTGACCGGGGCCTCCCGCCCCCGACCCTCCACCCGACCCCACAACACCGATGGGGCACCGCGGTCCCGGTGGCAGGAGACCAGGGCAGAGGAGAGAGGGAGGGTCCCTGGGAGGCAGGGAGCCGGGACCCTGGGGGAGCGGCCAGGGGCCCATCGCAGACCCAGCTGGGTCTCCCCCTCAGCTCCCCCTGCCGTCGTGGGGACAGCCCAGGCCACGCAGCCCAGCCGCACGCACCACGGCCAGAATTTCATCGCTCTCTGCAACGTCCTGACTCCCAAATCCGTCGCGGTTCAGGACACGCGGGAGGGTGCTGAAGCCCCCCGCCGACACCCCACCTGGCTCGTGCACACGCTCACCATCTTGGCGCTGAAGCGGCCATGGGCGAGCTCCCCCACAAAGGTGAGCTTCCTGGGCTCAGACCTGCGCAGCAGGTGCCTCTTGATTCCCTCGATGGCTTCGAGGTAGTCTTCCACTAACCTGGGCAGAGCGGCAGGCCCCGTCAGCTCCGGCCAGGCGGGCGCACGGTCCCCCCCGCCCCCGTCACCCAGGAGGGGCCGCACGGCCGTGAGCTGCCACGTACACGCTAGTGGCCGAGAGGCCTGGCCCCGTCTGGGGTGGCGCCGGGCCAGCCCGGAGGGGGAGGCTCGCAGCCGTCAGCAGCGTGGGGCATAGGGCTGTGCCTTCTGCTCCCGAGGAGGGTCGCTCCTCTCAACCGGCCCCGAGGGGCCACCCAAGCCCAGCCTCTGCAGAGCCCCAGGACCCCGACGTCCCCACAGGCTCCCCAGGCGTGACGCCCTTGTCCCTGCCCGCAGGGGTCGGCCCGGAGCTGCCCCCGGGGGTTCTGGGTGGCGGGAACCCCTAGGCTCGAGACTTCGGGGATTTCCGGTTCCCTCACAAGGGTGAGCTCTGTCTTCCACACCGTGGGACGCAGCTACGAATCGCGCCGCCCTCCGGGAAAGCTCGTATTCTAGGCGTCCGACAGTAAGCGCGGGAGGCCCAGGCGTTCCTGGCCGCCTTCTGCCGGGGAGCGCGTGCACACGGTGGCCTCCACAACCCCAGGGGGACACCGCTCAGCTGGTGAGCTGGGGGCCCCTCGGCCAGGCCCAGACCCCGGGCCCTGCCTGGCGCGGAAGGGCCATGGGGCTCGGCGACCAGCCAGGTCCCCTGCTCCTCGGCACATGGGCTGTGCTTGGAAGAAACGCATCCCCCGCGGAGGGGCCGAGTGCGGGCCCCGCACAGCTGCGGCCGCCTGACCGAGACCCCAGCACCAGGGGAGCCGCGGGGACCCCCCGCCCCGACGCAGCAGAAACCGGCCTCACTGGGTCTCCTTCTTTCCGCCCTGGATCCACTGCTTCAGAAGGTACTCGTAGTAGCTGTCGGCCCTGGCGCCCAACGTGAACACGCCCATGTGCGTGAAGAGGCCACTGTGGGTGTTGATGAACATGGGCACCAGCCCGTCCTTCTTCCCCGACAGCGAGTGGACGCGCCTCGTCACCTCCTCCGCAGCCTCCTGGGGCACACGAGGGGAGAGCGGGGGTGAGCGAGGGGGGCGGGCAAGCTGCAGAGAGGGGCTGTGTTGGCTCGCCCCCACGTGACGGATCCGCTCCCCGCGGAGGAGAGAGCAGGCTGGCGTCCTGGCCCGCGGCGTCCCCCCAGCCCAGCTGCCCGACGGAGGCTTCTGAGACTGGCCCAGGCCCCGCGGCGACCCTGTCCGGATCCCTCACG